TGTCACTGGCAATGAAGGCGGAACAATGGGAAGAATAGAAACCGGAGAATCGGTTCTCAAACGAGACCGTGGAGGAGATGGGGGTGGCGAGGAGGWACGCAGCCGTCTGCGGCCAAGCGCAGAAAGGGATAAAAGGGGGGTGGATTCGGCAAGATGTCGGAACATAGGACGCGAGTGTCGTGCTGGGGTAGAGGAAGTTATACCAGTAAAAACTATAGCATGAGAAATTCGAGGTACAGAAGCAGAGGAAGTGGTAAAAAGTGGAACCGCAGCAGAGACAATTGTTGTAGTAGGAACAGCAGCAGAGGCAACTTCCGTAGCAGGAACCGCAGCGGAGGCAACTTCCGTAGCAGAAACTGCTGGAGTAAAACCCGGAGTTGAAACAGCAGCAGTAGAAACTCCAGCAGTGGAGACCACAGCGGCAGCAGCAGTAGAAACTGCAGCAGTGGAGACCACAACGGTGGAAGGGGCGGCGGTGGGAACCGCAACAGTGGGAACTGCATTAGCAGCAGATGAACAAGCAGTGACAGGACGAGCAGCGAAGGCAACTTCCGTAGCAGAAACTGCTGGAGTGAAACCCGGAGTTGAAACAGCAACAGTAGAAACTGTAATAGTGGAGACCACAGCGGTGGAAGCAGCGGCGGTGGGAACCGCAACAGTGGGAACTGCATTAACAACAGATGAACAAGCAGTGACAGGACCAGCGCGATGTGGGGATAAGGAAGAAAGTGGGTGATGCAAGGACCATCGCAGCATGCGTCGGAACCGCTGAGAGAGACGGGTGACATGTGTAGGATAGCGACGTTGGCGGGAGCGTGTGTAGCTGGTCCATCCTTTAGCGAGGGTTGGTGGGGAATGGCCACGAGAAAGCATGCGACGAGTGAGTGTTGTCGCTGCAGTTCGGAAGTCCTGCCAATTATTGCAGATGCGTTCAAATCTGGTCAATTGCCCAGTGAACACACCTGCCGGTTGATGAGAAGGGATGTTGGAGGTAGCACTTGGATAGCAAAATAACAGGGAAATCCCAAGCAGCCGCTTTATCAAACACGCTCATGCGAAGCGAACCATCAGAACGTACTCGTAGATGCATACCTACAAAGGTACACGACCCTTTTGTAGCCGTAGTTTCCTTCCACTCAAGCCCATAGTGTTCTGAAGGAGGAGGTAATTGCCCCCATGAAAGAACATCATCAATGAGGCGGTAAGTGAAGGCGTATCGCTGAGCAGCTTGGGGATCATGTTGACGAATGTCATCAATAAAGCGTGCTTCATCCCAATAGAGCGTTAGATTGGAAATTTCTGGGCCAGCATTTGTTCCCATTGGAATACCAATGATTTGCTTTCGAAGAGTGTCATCTCTAGTGAACAGAAAAGTGTTTTCTACAACAAAGCGAAGATGTTGGAGAATCTGAGAAATGGAAAGGTTGTCTGGTCCTGCATCGGTTGTCCATTGGCAAGAGCAAGACCCGCGAATGAACATGTTCAAGGCTCTGCAGCGCGAATGCATGCGGGTATGCTGAAGAGYATAAGCATGAGCTTCATCAACAGCCTTTGCCACATTATTCAAAATGCGGTCACGAGGAAGGTTGGTGTACATTGTGGTGAAATCAACCGTGCAAGGAGAGAGGCCACGTTGGGAGGACACATTGTTTTTCAGGTCAATCGCCACCTCATCGGCACTCTGGACGATCCAGCACCGTCGAACACCTTACTATTGATAGAGCTCAGTGTCTTTCTCACGAAGAGTAGAGATCACGCCTTGCAAAGCAGTGCTGGGACAGGACGAAATAGCCGTTGTGCTAGCCAAGGGTTTGTGAGGAGGCCGTTCATGAATGGTGCGAATAGAAGGACGAGAGCGAGTGCGTGGGGGGACAGGACAAGTATTTTGTGTTGTGACTCCAAGAATGCTGCGAAGAGCTGGAGGAGACTTGTGGGCTTTCAACACWTAGTATAGGTAAGGCAGGGTATCAGTGTGGGTATAACCCCAATGGTGATTCCATAGTGCATGGYGGTTGAGCACATCAGCGACGGATTCATGAGGACGAGTATAAGTGGGACTGTCCAAATGGGTAGAGAGGTGAAACAAATACCAATTCTTGCAACAAATTGCCAAATTGTGGGATGATTTGTCCACAGGAACAATGGCAAAGTGTTGTTGCARATGGCGTAAGGAGGCATGTGCACAACGAAGTGAATGTTGTTGGCTCACATGATTGGAAGACGAAGTCGCATTGGATTGATAATGCCCAAGGATTGCAGAACGCCAGCTATGCAATTTTTGAAAAAGGGACGAAAAAGAAGCAGATCGAGAGTGTCTTGCAAATGTATTCTTGTAATTGGCAATGTACTCATCGAGTCTGATCGCAAGTGCTTGGAGCACATCAGCAGTCTCCCCGTTCAAACGATATTTAGAACCTTCTTGAAAAAGCTTGCGAAGGTTATCGTCTGAGATGATATTGTAATCAACAGAGACAACATGACCGTCCASAAGATCTGAACAATKCGGAAAGGCCCTGCGGCATTCGCAGTTCACGGAGTCTGGTAAGGTCATGGCAGGAGCAACACTCAATGCCACATCAGTAAATTTGCAAAATTGGACACGTGTGGGTGGCATCAACTTGTCACTTACACGAACATGTGCGGCCGCTTGCGGGTCAGGGTGCAATGCAACTACTTCTGGCAACTGCAACACATGGCGCAAATTCGTGGCACGAACTACCTCATGCACATGTACGACCTTAATATGGTCAGTAAACGGGCCACGTGGTTGTGYTGTGTAACGTTGGCGGGTATGCTGGGATTTTCGGATGAGGCATTCGAGTTCTCGAATGTCTGCTGTCATGTCCGCATTGGAAACATTGTTATAAAGCCATTGCAAAAGTCGTGCCCGCCACGCTGGTTGTGCCCGCTCAATGTCAGCCTTGACACGACACCAGTTACCYGAAGCAGCTTCATGAAGAAGGCGATGGAGTGAGGTACGAATTATGAGTTGGGGACCTGGACGAAGATCAATAGCAAATGACGGAGGCGAAGGCGTTGGGAGGAGAGGCAAAGGCCGAGAGGGTGTTGGCAAAAGAGGTGCAACATGGGAGYTAGCGGGTGTCGGCAAAAGGGGTGATGTGTGAGGAGGATTAGCTGATGCAGGAATAGGTGGAGCAGGTGAGGGCTGAGCAAAAGGGGATTGCGGAACGAACGGCTGAGGGCCCATTTGTGTCCATCGGGAAGGACGTAMATGCCGTCGTGGAGATGGCAATCTAGCCATTGGAAGGACTGCATTGAAACCGACAGGGTGAAGCGTTCGAAGTTTTCGAACCCAAAAACCCTCGCGTGGTGCAGCAGCCCTCCGAAAGAGGCCATGATCAACAAGACCTCCAGACGTATGATATAGGGTAGGATCGATGCATTCCAGGGGCCAAACCGCGAAGTCGAATGCTGGTTGCCCACTCATTGTGCGGTATATCGTCAAACAGAACTGCCCGGTGATATATATGTATATATATATATATATCATCACAAACATATATATAAGGCTAATGAACCAGTCTGCCCTTGACAGCAGAGAGGACATACATTGTAAGACCTATCGTCTTCACCCGAATAGAACGCCCGATTATTATAGCCGTATCTGGACAGATACGGCTATAATAATCGGGCGTTCTATTTGGGCGAAGACGGTAGCTGAGGTGGATGAACACGTGGAAGACATAGCTGAGCATTCTCGGTACAACAATCGCCACAATGGCTGGCATTCAGCATGCCCACCACACAATCCCAATAAATGGCATGTCGATCCCTGCAGGCAAGAACAGAGGTATGTAGCGTCATGGAGGACTGCCCGGTGAACGATGGGCAAAGATGGAGAAGAGGACAACAAACGAAGGGGGGCTGTGAAAGACTGAGAGAGACAGAAGTTCACAGAGCTGCCCAGTCAACAGCAGGCAGAAAGGGAGACGGGACAAAAAACGAAAAACACTCGATAGCGAGGTGCCCGAACGGTGGGAACATTATCCAGTCCACATTCCACATGCATGGCATGGCGACATGCTTGCCATCAACTTACTTCCTTTGTTCATGTTTGTGTTCGCGTCCCTTCTTCAACTGATTGTGTGTGTGTGTGTGTGTGTGTGTGTGTGTGTGTGTGTGTGTTCCACTCGTGAAATTTGAACTCCTTTGATTGTGCTCACAGATCGCAGGTGATCGTGTGTCGTGCAATGCCGTAGCTAACCTCTGCGTCCTGCAAATGTATGACAAGGTATGTGGGACTGCCTTTTGTCGCTACGAGTCTTTCGAATTCCTTGTTTTTCTTTTTTTTCCTTGTGTTTTGCACAGGCGTACAAGAAGCAATAGCTCCCCCTGATCCTGAACCAGCTCATCACACTCCCGCCCGACATCTATAACCTAAAACCACCTCCTCCCTAATCCTGCACAACCTTCTCCCTATTCCTGTGCCTGAACGACCCTTCGCCTATTCCTCAAACAACCCTGACATGGCACACTACACTCCTGAACAAAGTCGTCTTACTCACTGATATCTTCCACCTCTTTCCAAGCCCAAATCGATCTCGTTCCCAATCCTAAACTGATCTCACCGTTATTCATGAATGACCTGGCTGCCTATTTCTGAACAACAACCTTGTCCTAATCGTGAACGATCCGGTTCCTACTGCTAAAGGATATGGTCACTATTCCTGTATTAATTCACAGTGCTTCGAGCTGGTCACGAGGTTCAAACCCAATCCAGTCCAGTCTAACGCAGTCAAATAAAGGCCAGCCCAGCCCCAGTAAGAACAACTCAATTCTTGCGAATACGAATACGAATACAAATCTTTGCCGAATAAAGCGGGAGCAGTATGTACTATGAAGTTATTTGTATAGTATTCAGCACCATTTTCAGGCCTGAGACAACTGTGCACTATAGCCCCAATCGCACACGGCATTATCGCCATTACCCCGATCCCGCATGAGTGTCAAGCGTGCTAACCCCCCATCTTCAAATGAATAGAACGCCCGGTCATTATTGCTGTACCTAGACTGTAAGTTGCCCCAAATACAGCTATAATGAACCGGTTTTATATTCTGGGAAGAAGGTAGTTTCCCACATGGAGGAGGACTATGCTAATCCCAAGGTTGTATTCACCCTTCTTCATCAGTCTTGAATCTAGTCCCCTCACTACCCGGCGTCTCCCCGCCCCACACGTCATCAGTCTTGAATCCCCTTCCCCCCTTTTCCCTACGCCGCCTCCCTGCACCCACGCTTCTTCATCAGTCTTGAGTCCCCACCCC